GGGGGGGGGCATGGAGACTTTAATCAAGGGCTGAATAATGAAAAATGCTGCTTACCTCATTATCATTAATTAAAGTTCCAACAAATGTCATTTCAAAACCCATTCAGTGAACGTGACAGGGTGAGAAAAACAGATAAACAATACAAATATATATTTAAATTGTCAGTTAATGTTTTGATCTCAAGGTTTAAAAATCATGTTTCTCAGATTTCTTGACTCACATTTTTATAAAGCCGGACGACCTCTGACCTCAGAGGATTCGCCATCGTCTCAAACGGCTGAAAACACAAAGTACATTAATATTCAATCAAAAATAACCACGAGGATAAACTATCATCAAGAATGACTACTTTTACTGTAACAGAGTATTCATACACTCGTGAGTACAAGATTGGAGTACTTCTACTTTTACTGAAGTACAAGATCTGAGTACTTCTGCTTTTACTCAAGTACCAGGTCTGGTACTTCTGCTTTTACTCAAGTACCAGGTCTGAGTACTCCTTCCTCCTCTGAGGAGATATATATAGATATTTATACTAATTATACTTGTTATAACTGTTTAGTATGTGGTGTACTTTGTCCGGTGCCTCCTCACCTGTCGCAGTGACCTCTGCTCTCAGCGGAAGAGAAGCTCTAACTCGATCAGTCTTATTACAAATCGATTAAAACCCGGTCCGTATGCTCACCTAAAGTTGTTTAGCATCATATTTATTAAGAATAACGTGAAACGGAGCTTTTATATTTCAACTTTAGTACCGAGCTCGGTGGGAACAAGCAGGAAAAGTAAACAACCAAAGAGTCGCTCAACAGCCAAAGAGTAACCCGCGCAGAGATGGTAATCCTCCGAAACAGACCGCGACGGTTCTACTGATGTCCGCACATGCGCACTGACGCTTAAATGAGCAGCTTGTGTAAGGCGCAGAAAATAAGTAGAAGTAAATAAAACAAATATATAACATTACAACAAAGTAAATATTTTTAGAAAGTGTATTATACTTGCCAACTCCATTTACAGTGTGTAAATAAACGGATTACACAAACAAAAACATAAAAGGTAGGATATTTTTTATATTAAGCATCCATATCAAATAACTTTTAACAGGTTTTTAGCCACTTATTTCTAACTTTACCATAGCCTTAACAATTTAAGCAAACATCTGCTTCATTCAGTTAAAATGAGACAAAGAAAACCACCTTTAAATATGCATATTCTTTATTCTTTAAACAACATCTTTCCTATTAATAAAAACATTATACAGGCACACGGGACATGTCCGTCTGAAGGGGTGAAATATCGTGTTTTAAACATCAGCTTCTGATGGTTCTGTGTGTTTGGCTTCAGTTGGACATGTTGGTTCTTCAGCTGCAGAACACCCTCCCTCACATCGGGGCTGAAAACAGGCACAATCATGACTTTTCTTTTGTTGCTGAGATTGGCAGACTCGCCCCACATCCCATAATAAGCGCTGTGATACTGATCAGAGGTCAGTAGTTGGTCTTCAGCCGGCGGTTCTCCTCCCTCAGTTTCTCCACCTCCTCCACCAGAGACTCGTTCACAGAGTACTTCTCTACCAGACCGTGGATCTCGTTCTGAAACAGAGACACTGTTAAACAAGTCTTTGAACAAGTATTCAGAATCCCTTTATTAGTCCCACAGAGGGGAGATGTGCAGCGTTACAGCAGAGCCACAGACAGCTTAGTGTTGCATATCTTACATGCATTAAAAAAGTACTAAGTTATAACATAATAAACAATATGCTAAAAAAAAGATAAAAACTAAAAAAGTTACATAATTTTCAAAAATCCAGATCAAAAATCCAGATCAAAATACAAATCAAATCCTGTAGCAGTTCTTAGGATTTAGCAGCCCGGTATATATTACAGTTATTAAAGATGGCATATGTATATATTGCACATAGTTTGACGGTATTTAACAGCAGCAAGCCTAAGTCTATTAAACAAGTCTTCGAACAAGTCTTTGAAAAAGTCCTGAACAAGTCTTTAAACAAGTCTTCGAACAAGTCTTCAAACAAGTCTTAGAACAAGTCTTAGAACAAGTCCTTAAATAAGTCTTCGAACAAGTCCTGAACAAGTCTTCAAACAAGTTTTTAAACAAGTCCTGAACAAGTCCTGAACAAGTCTTCAAACAAGTCTTAGAACAAGTCTTTCAACAAGTCTTAGAACAAGTCTTAGAACAAGTCTTTAAACAAGTCTTCGAACAAGTCCTGAGCAAGTCTTCGAACAAGTCCTGAGCAAGTCTTCAAACAAGTCTTAGAACAAGTCTTTAAACAAGTCTTCGAACAAGTCCTGAGCAAGTCTTCGAACAAGTCCTGAGCAAGTCTTCAAACAAGTCTTTCAACAAGTCCTTAAACAAGTCTTCGAACAAGTCCTGAACAAGTCTTCAAACAAGTTTTTAAACAAGTCTTTGAACAAGTCTTAGAACAAGTCTTTCAACAAGTCTTCGAACAAGTGCTGAGCAAGTCTTCATACAAGTCTTAGAACAAGTCTTTCAACAAGTCTTTCAACAAGTCTTTAAACAAGTCTTAGAACAAGTCCTTAAACAAGTCTTCGAACAAGTCCTGAACAAGTCTTCAAACAAGTTTTTGAACAAGTCCTTAAACAAGTCTTCGAACAAGTCCTGAACAAGTCTTCAAACAAGTTTTTGAACAAGTCTTTGAACAAGTCTTTAAACCAGTCTTAGAACAAGTCTTTGAACAAGTCCTGAACAAGTCTTTAAACAAGTCTTTCAACAAGTCTTTGAACAAGTCTTTCAACATCTATGATACGATACGATAATACTTTATTTGTCAGATCAAGTCTGAAATGTGACTTGCGTCCCAGCAGCTCCATGTCCAACATCAACAGACACAATACATGAAACACGCACATCTCTTTCAACAAGTCTTCAAACAGACAGATCAAAGTGTATTCATCCTGACGAGGACATGGTGAGAGACTGTCTTGATGTTTATGTACTGGAGGAACTGACATCTGTTGTGAGACTTCATCATGACGGGTTTAAGAATTGTTGGGTTTCACTGGTTGAATAATAATAACAACAATAATACATTTACATAGCGCTCAAAGCTCTTACGGCATATTTATAGTTGGATATGATATCTATCTATCTTCCTGAATTTTTTGCACTTTTACGCTGATAATACTTTGACTTAAAATGAAGTATTTGTACACTAAGGTATTGGTTTACTCGGAGCATCTGAATACTCCTCCCACTCTGGATCTAGGCCTGTTCCCAGATCTATCATCACCCTCCCAACGTCTCACAACAAGGAGCAGAAAGAGAAAAGGTCCTACCAGCTGGATGTAGAACTGCCGCACCATCTCAACCTGGAGATTCACGATGTCTCTGTGACACACATCTCTGAGGAGGAGGAGGAGGAAGAGGAGGAAGAGGAGGATTATATTAACCTCCTTGTTATTGATATTTAACCTGTGCTTCTTCTAGTATCATCATTATACCATTTGTACTTCCCTTATACACATTTAATGTCAGATATGGGTTCAATGTGAATTACTTTAGTTAATATGAAGTGTTGAAGCCTTTTCAAAGAAGCACTTAAAGGTTGAGGGTTCACCTGAAGTCCTCCAGAGTTTCATGGATCATGTTCTGGATGAAGTGGATCTGAAGGGAGGAGAGAGTAGCAGCTGCTCCCTGACCGACCACCTCCATGATGTTCTGGGAGAGGGAGGAGGAGAGGGAGGCTGCTGAAGGAGAGAGAGAACACCGTGAAGGAGGCTAATGTTGGGCTATAAAGGAACTACAGCACGGTCACATGACTTCACCACCGCTAAGCTAAAGGAGGCTAATGTTGGGCTATAAAGGAACTACAGCACGGTCACATGACTTCACGTCACCATAAGGCTAATGGGCTATAAAGGACCACGCTAAGCTAAAGGAGGCTAATGTTGGGCTATAAAGGAACTACAGCACGGTCACATGACTTCACTTCACCACCGCTAAGCTAAAGGAGGCTAATGTTGGGCTATAAAGGAACTACAGGAAGAACCGCTAAGCTAAAGGTGGCTAATGTTGGGCTATAAAGGAACTACAGCA